ACTAAACGGATGCTTGACAGTACTTACTGCTAAATTCAAAGAGCTTTCAAAGCTTCTTCTTCGGATTTTAGATCGCTTATCCTTTGAATTTAGCTCAACTTTCGTTTCATCGAGAAGAGAACATTTAGTAAAAAAAATCAGGTGAGTCACTTTTATCGAACAGCACTGTACATATATATATATATATATATATATATATATATATATATATATATAAGAGGTAAAACACCGTATCATACCGCGCTACGGTGGTTTCGACCGTTAGGTCCCGTCAGCTGGCTGAGCATTAAGTGTTCCTTAACCACACCATTCTTAGCCCGCTAGGGCACCGGACGTTGAGAAGAGGAGGAGGTGTGAAGAAGGGAAGGAGATGAAAAAAAAACAACTTTATTTTTCATAATCCGGGGTCGTACAAGCCAAAAACATTTTTGCCTACGTGTCTACATTTCAACATTAATTCAGTTCCCACGTTTAACAATTCCTCACTTTCTTGATAGATAGCTATCACCAAGTTCTCCTCCTGGCAAAACCTACAGCTGCTGCTCGTCCTACCACGTTGTCTTTCTTTTTATGTGCCTTGTTCTTTCAGGACGTAGGCGATCATGGCTCTCCACTTCCTCCTGTCCCTTAGAGCTCTCAATACGTTTTGTCCCTCTGTCACATCCCCCAGGAAACGTTCTGTCATCCACTTGCTTAAGCCCGCCAGCTATGTCAAGCGCTATTTTCCCTTGTCTCTCTTTTGACCCGTGCTTATCAGATTCTCCACTCCCTAACTTTCACTCAAGTTAAATTTTTAAAAAATTAAACAAATATAATCAGTAATTTCTTTCTTTTCTTTTTATGTGCCATGTATTTTCAGGACGTAGGCGATCATGGCTCTCCACTCCCTCCTATCCCTTGTAACCCTGATTAAGTTCTGTCCCTTTGCTACTTCCGCCAGGCTCTGTTATCCACTTGCGTTACTTTCCCTTGTCTCGCTTTCCCTCTATTCGACCTCTGAGTATCAGATTCTCCAAGCTCTCCTTTCTCGTTACGTGTCCCAGAAACTTCAGCTGCCTCTTCTTGATGTTAAGTATTAAACCTCGTCCTTGGAGAGGATATAAACAAGGAGGAGGCTTAATACTTGTTTGCATCCTCTTCAAGGAGTCATCGTTCCTCAAACGCTCGGTTCATGATATCCTTAGCATCTTTCTGTAGAACCACATCTCCGTCGCCTCGAGTCTCTTCTTCATCTTCGAGGAACATTCAACATTCGCTGCCACATAGGAGGACAGATGTCACGTAACAGTTCAGTATTCTTTTCTTTGTTACCAAAGAAATCCTCCTGTCTCGCAATACTCTGCCCAGCTTTTGGAATGTGTCCTTGGCCATCCCAATACGTCTACGGATCTCAGATCTTCCCAGATATTTAAACTTCCGTGCCAGCTTAATTTTAGTGTCCCCGACCTGTAAATCACATTTCGGGCTCATCTTTTTACTGATGACCATTCATTCTGTCTTCTTGTACTTTATGCTTTGTCCCTTCTTCCCGCTCTCCTTCGCTAGCTTCTGTAGGAGGTTTTGTAGTTTCCTATATGTATATAAAAGTGAACATTGAAATCAACACTCAGAGGCGACAGGCTGTCATTTTTACTTTATCAGATCGAACTCGGCCATTTACTCCTGTTTTAATAATTTGTTAAAACAGGAGTAAATGGCCGAGTGGTTAAAACATTTGCTTTCAGACCATAAGACCCGGGTTCGAATCTCACCATGGTCAAGTTTTAAGGGGATCTTGATGTTATCGGTCTGGAAAATGCCTGAAAACCATACTCACTTTCACGAATATATATATATATATATATTCATGAATTATTCATACAAAAAACAAATACAAAGGTTAATGATTTAATTGGCGAGAAATCCATCGTCGCGAACAATTCAAATAATATACAAAAACCCCGTTTTATGTCCAAACCCCACCCCCACCCCCCGTCAGAAATTTTCTAAAAAATCGTCGGAAATTTATGAGTAGGAAAAATAACAATGTTTTCAGCTTTTAAGTGTTTCAGTTGCTACAATCTTGGTTACTAACAAGAGACTTTGTTGTAACATTTTATCGGATGATATGGTATTTTAACTCTGCATCATTAATAACAACAAAGCGAAATACGAAGCCAAAAGTGCAACAATTTCAGTCTTGCCTGCGTATCAATTCGCTGAGATACAATTTTCCATTGAGTGAGCGATATACATTTGAATATATCTACTCGTGTTGGGATGATTAATCGGAAGCGAGAATCGGAAAAATCGGAACTTTTTTGGGTATCGGAAACGGTATCGGAAAAATTTGTGCCTATTTTCCGATTCCAAAAACGATTCTTTTAAATTTTTAACTTAATTTTCCATTATTGGTACTAATGATAAATATTTATTGTTTTTAAATTATCACTAAAACTAAAATCATAATAACATCAAAATACGATGTAAATTTATTTTACTTGTATAAAGAAAAACAAAAAATAAATTCTCTAGGTAACCTTTAAAAGAATGCAGTTGATTTACAATGTTCCGAAAAATGCTTAAAAATTAAATAGAACATTTTTGTCAAGAAAAATACTTTCAAACATCATTGATAATTAAATAAATGGTACCCAGAAAATGATGCAACGGAAAATTGGTCACCGGAAAATTAGCAACAGAAAATTACGTCAACCATGAGCCAGTCGAGACTGTCGGATCTGGCTGTGCTGTCCATTGAAAACGAGCTTACAAGACAAATAGATTTTGACGATGTCATTGACCAGTTTGCCACAATGAAAACAAGAAAACATTCATTCTCAGACCATAGTATCGAATGTCATTCTTTTGCCGTGTTTTGTATTTAGTTGTTCTGAAAGTGAACAGTTGCATTTTAAAAATCTTTTGATTTGAACGATTATTTTGTGGTATTGGATTTTGTCTTGGATCATACACGTAAACAGTTCTTTTATTGTTCTCTCCTTAATATTGTTTTTATTTTTCTCATATTCTCTAAAATTCAGTAACTCCCACCACCTTGCGTCTTAGTGGCTTTATTGCCTAACTTTGAGGTAAAATGATTTAAAAAGCCGCTTTCTCTGGCGTCAAGGAAATCATGTCAACAAAATGAAAACGAGTCGAAGTGGTTTCTAAATTAGAACGTGGAGGAGGTAATGTTCTACCATTATTGGAAAGAAAATGGCATAAGAAAGAAAGAAAGAAAGAAAGAAAGAAAGAAAGAAAGAAAGAAAATGAACGGTATACAAAGAAAGAAAGAAAGAAAGAAAGAAAGAAAGAAAGAAAGAAAGAAAGAAAGAAAGAAAGCAGCCGAAATAGAAGTAAAGAAATGGACAGAAGAGAAAAAAAGAAAGGAAAAAAGAATGAATGGAATACAAAGAAAGAAAGAAAGAAAGTAATATGCCGACATAGAATGAAAGAAATTAGACGGAAAAGAAAGAAAGAAAGAAAGAAAGAAAGAAAGCAGTCGAAATAGAATGAAAGAAATGGACAGAATAGAAAGAAAGAAAGAAAGAAAGAAAGTATTATGCCGACATAGAATGAAAGAAATTAGACGGGAAAGAAAAAAGAAAGAAAGAAAGAAAGAACGAAAACTGCACAGAAAATGAACAGCATAAAAGAAAGAAAGAAAGAAAGAAAGAAAGAAAGAAAGAAAGAAAGAAAGAAAGAAAGCAGTCGAAATAGAATGAAAGAAATGGACAGAATAGAAAGAAAGGAAGAAGGAAAATGAACTGAATACAAAGAAAGAAAGAAAGAAAGAAAGAAAGAAAGAAAGAAAGAAAGAAAGAAAGTAATATGCCGACATAGAATGAAAGAAATTAGACGGAAAAGAAAAAAAGAAAAGAAAAAGAACGAAAACTGCACAGAAAATGAACAGCATAAAAGAAAGAAAGAAAGAAAGAAAGAAAGCAGTCGAAATAGAATGAAAGAAATGGACAGAATAGAAAGAAAGGAAGAAGGAAAATGAACTGAATACAAAGAAAGAAAGAAAGAAAGAAAGAAAGAAAGAAAGAAAGAAAGAAATATGCCGACATAGAATGAAAGAAATTAGACGGAAAAGAAAAAAGAAAGAAAGAACGAAAACTGCACAGAAAATGAACAGCATAAAAGAAAGAAAGAAAGAAAGAAAGAAAGCAGTCGAAATAGAATGAAAGAAATGGACAGAATAGAAAGAAAGGAAGAAGGAAAATGAACTGAATACAAAGAAAGAAAGAAAGAAAGAAAGAAAGAAAGAAAGAAAATGAACGGAATACAAAGAAAGAAAGAAAGAAATAAGCCGACATAGAATGAAAGAAAATGGATGGAAAAGAAAGAAAGAAACAAACAAAGAAAACAGCACAGAAAATGAACGACATACAAATTCCAGAAATTATTAAATCCAATTCATTACAAGGTCTGATACTTAGTTCACTGTGTGGTGTTCGATAAATTGTCTCGTGCGAATCCATCTTGCAACCGATCTACCATACGTCAGTTCATTGAATATTGCTGCCACATCTGGTTTGGTGTTCCACATATATATCTCGACATTCTTGATATAATCCAAAGAAGGTGTCTGTAATGTTATTGGTCCTGACCTGGCATCTCGACTTCAGTCACTTCTACATCGCTGTGACCTATGAATATTAGACAACGCAATTAAATATGCTTAATGAAGTATCGCTTTTTTCTTCCCTGGCAACACTGAGTAACCTGCTGTGTGTACGCCTTCATGTAAGCGTTGTTAATAACTTTGCACATGAAGTGTACTGAATTTGGCTTGGGGTTGCGGAAAGGGCCATCTAAACTCCAGTACACACGGGAAATAAATAAAATGGAGAAGATTGGCGTCTCGGAAGGAAAAGTGGGGGGGCGGGTCATGCCGGAGCGGCTTTCTCTGGTGTCAAGGAAATCATGTCAACAAAATGAAAACGAGTCGAAGTCGTTTCTAGGTTAGAACGTGGAGGAGGTAATGTTCTACTATCATTGGAAAGAAAATGGCATTACAAAGAAAGAAAGAAAGAAAGAAAGAAAGAAAGAAAGAAAGAAAGAGAAAGAAAGAAAGAAAGACAGAACGAAAACTGCACAGAAAATGAACAGCATAAAAGAAAGAAAGAAAGAAAGAAAGAAAATGAACGGAATACGAAGAAAGAAAGAAAGAAAGAAAGAAAGAAAGAAAGAAAGAAAGAAAGAAAGAAAATGAACGGAATACGAAGAAAGAAAGAAAGAAAGAAAGAAAGAAAGAAAGAAAGAAAGAAAGAAAGAAAATGAACGGAATACGAAGAAAGAAAGAAAGAAAGAAAGAAAGAAAGAAAGAAAGAAAACTGCACAGAAAATGAACAGCATAAAAGAAAGAAAGAAAGAAAGAAAGAAAGAAAGAAAGAAAGAAAATGAACGGAATACGAAGAAAGAAAGAAAGAAAGAAAATGAAGGGAATACGAAGAAAGAAAGTCCAACGAAAACTGCACAGAAAAAAGAAAATGCAATAAAAGAAAAGAAAGAAAGAAAATGAACGGAATACAAAGAAAGAAAGAAAGAAAAAAGAAAAAAGAAAGAAAGAAAATGAACGGAAACGAAAGAAAAAAGAAAGAAAAGAAAAAAAAGAAAGAAAGAAAGAAAAAATGAACGGAATACGAAGAAAGAAAGAAAGAAAGAAAGAAAGAAAAGAAAGAAAGAAAGAAAACGAAAACGAAAACTGCACAGAAAATGAACAGCATAAAAGAAAGAAAGAAAATGAACGGAATAGAAAGAAAGAAAGAAAGAAAGAAAGCAAGAAAGAAAGAAAGAAAGAAAGAAAGAAAGAAAACGGCACAGAAAATGAACGTCATAAAACAGAAAAGAAGAAAGAAAGGAAATCAAGTAAGCAATCAAGTGCCACAGAAATAAAGAAAATGAACGGAATACGAAGAAAGAAAGAAAAGGTAAAATAAAGAAAAGAAGAATCGTAAGCACTTTTAAAAAAAAACACAATAAGAAAAAAACAACAACTAAACATCCGATCCAATGCTCATCTCGCGTAATTTGTGAGTTTCATTGACGTCCTGATGTTCATGATGCAATTCCTGGAGTGGGCGAACTTGTTTATTGAAGATCAAATATCATTTGGAAGGTGTTGGCGGGTGGGGGGAGGTGGCTGCATCAGGGTGGGAATTCATTGAAGAAAGTTTCTAAGAAAAAAGCAATTTGATATCCAAAGGGGGACCATTTCCGTCACACACACACACACACACACACACACACACACACACACACACACACACACACACACATAGATATAAAATATCTATATGTAGGTGGGGGCATGTCACGAAACAACTTTATTAGAATCTATCTATTTATGCCATTTTGTTCATTTTGTTCATATTCGTATCTATCTATCCATCTATCTATTTCAGTTTGTTCATAACTATCTATCGATGTCTATTGATAAATATTTATCCATTTCGGTCTATTCATATCTATCTATCTATCTATCTATCTATCTATCTATCTATCTGTCTGCCTGTCTGTCTATCTACCTCAGTCTAATCGTATCTATCTATCTATCTATCTATCTATCTATCTATCTATCTGTCTGCCTGTCTGTCTATCTACCTCAGTCTAATCGTATCTATCTATCTATCTATCTATTTGTTTCAATTTGTTCATATCTATCGACGTCAGTCTATTCATAAATATTTATCCATTTCGGTCTATTCATATCTATCTATCTATCTAGCTAGCTAGCTAGCTAGCTATATATCTATCTAGCCCAGTTTATATCTATCTATCTATCTATCTATCTATTTGTTTCAATTTGTTCATATCTATCGACGTCAGTCTATTCATAAATATTTATCCATTTCGGTCTATTCATATCTATCTAGCTAGCTAGCTAGCTAGCTAGCTATATATCTATCTAGCCCAGTTTATATCTATCTATCTATCTATCTATCTATCTATCTATCTATCTATCTATCTATCTAACCCAGTTTGTTCATTATTTATCTACTGAGGTACCTGGATGCAATCTCCGAATTTCATGTCTGTTTTCTTCAGGTACTTTCGACCGAGTCAGTCATCTTCAAGGATCTATGTGGCACCTGCATGGTAATTAGGATTCCTTTGTCTATGCACTGGAAATATATAGATATGACGTCACCGTAGTCTACTTCAAAATTCCAGCTTTCCAAAGACGACCAAAATGTACAGAAAGGAATTCTGATTACTACACCGACACCACAATGGGTCATGAAACTGAAATTGTCGAAAGCACTGGAACAAAACAAGAACACCGTATGAACTTTGGACAGTTTATCCACAATTCCGAACACAATACCCAACACGTTTTTCGAAAAATGGAAAAATACAATAAAAAGAATTAAACAGACAGACATTGTCAGTTCTTTTTAATCAAATTTGTTTAGATCAATACTCGTTGGCTAAATGTCAGCTTTTAATGATTAAGGGATACAATTCTTACTAATTAACCCATATTTGGGGGCAAGATGGGAATTAAAGCCTTTTCCCAAGGGGATTTACGCGTAAGTGTAGATAACAAATGAAACGAGAATTGGAACTCGGTTCTCTGATTAACAATTCCGAACCCTTATCGATTTGCACCAACCGCACATCCAAGTTTACAGTACCAGGTATTCCCAAGAGGTCACCCATCCAGATACTGATCAGGGTCGACGCTGCTTAACCTCGATTTCTCATTCCGAGTGGTTATACATTACACCACCCGCACATCCAAGCTTACAGTAGTTGGTATTCCCATGCAGTCCCTCAATCAGGTATTGACCAGGGTCGACGTTGCTTAACTTCGATTTCTTATTCCGAGCGGTTATCCATTATACCACCCACACATTCAAGCTTATAACACCTGGTATTTCTAAGAGGTCACCCATTTAGGTACTGACCAGACTCGACCTTGCTTAACTCCGATTTCTCATTCCGAGTGGTTATCCATTTACAGTACCTGCACATCCAAGCTTACAGTACCTGGTATTTCCAAGAGGTCACCCATTTAAATACTGACCAGGATCAACGTTGCTTAAATTCGGTGATCGTATGGGAAGCGTTGTTTCAACGTGATGTGGCCGTAAGCCGGAAGTGAAAGAGAATGAAAAAAACTTTAGAAGGAACCGGAAATCCAATCCTAAATAGGAAACAAGGGATAAACCTCTACTCCTGTACGAAAAATTCGTGAGGAATGGGAAATAGAACAGGCGAACCAATCTGCTCTTCTATTTTTAAAGAATTCATGGATTTTGTTCTGATCTATAGAAATTTACGTAGCATATTTTCCCATTTATATACATATATTCTTTTTCGACCACTGGAACAATATCAGGCAAATAAAGGACAAATATTCTATGTAACGGATTTTGTTTTCTGAAAAGACTTCATCAGGCTAAAATAATGTTCTATTGATGGACTTATATAATTGCAGGTGGGACTGTATCACATAAACGTTGATTATAATTACACACCGTAGGAAATCGCCAAAAATGTGGGATTGCTTAATTTCTCTCTCTCTCTCTCTCTCTCTCTATTTATCTATCTATCTATCTATCTATCTATCTATCTCTGTTGA